TACAACTCGTAGGATTTACATTCAAATGTTTGAACGAACAAGAGAGTTTTCATCGAAGAGGGGTTGGATAAAGTGGTAAGAGACTTATTCTAATTTAAGTAAGGTTTCGAGTTCAAGACCTTTTGTATGCAACAGTCCCCGTTGAGAGATTCACTCACTATTTCCAGGTGCGCGATGCGGGTCGGATCCAGATTAATAGAAGGGAAACCCCGGATACCGGGCGAAAAACCAAAAAAACAAGGGAGTTTTCTAACTATCAGCATTAAAATTGCTTCTTCGTTTTTTACTATTAATTTCTATAAAAATAAAAATTAATTTAAATTCTATCAATCCTCTATCTAAATGATTTTATGAAATGTTATTGTGAAAAATAAAGTTTATTTTTATAATTTTTCATACAAATTAATGATTAAAAGATGTGATAAATGTACACATAAGTTGAAAAGAATCATGATTGGTGCACACCTGGATTCAATACCGGGGTGTGCACACTCTACATAAAAAAAAATGGAGAACACTCAGTCCATTTTTTTTTTTTATGTGGAGGGTGCACACCCGGGTGTTGAATCCGGGTGTGCACACATCATTTTCCAGTTGAAAAACATAAACTTGACAAATAGGTTAGACGGGTAAATTCATATTAAATTATCTAAAATTTTGAATTAATTGTTATGGGTTATTTCAAATTTTGGATTAAAAGGTAAATCCATAGCCCAACCACATGGATCTTAAATTAAATCAAGTACACCCAATTTTTTTTTAAAGAAAAATTAAAATTAAAATTAAAAGTTTTCAATATTTCAAATTGGATCAAATCACTTCTAGTTGACCCAATCATTCTAAACTAACACAATTGGATCCAGGTAATTTTGATTTGGATCATGTCATATTTCAAATTAATACTTTAAACTAATGACCGTATCCATAGTGGGTGAATTAGGTCGGATTTTTTGATTGATCAATCCAATTTTATCAAGTCTAGAAAAACTCATGAATGGATATAGATTAAAAATTCCATTTTAAAATAAATAATATAGATTAGAAAAGGAAAATGTCATATTGAAATATATAATCTAGTGTACTTAAAGAAAATTTAACGTTTTAAAGTGTATTGATTGTATTTTTATTAATTAATATAAAAAAATATGTGTTGATATATAATATTAATTTTAAGAGAATAGTATTTATATTTTATCTCATAAAGATTAAGAAGAAAATTGTTCTAAAATTACATTGTTTTAATAAATTTTTATTAAAAAAATTAAACTATCTTATTTTTAAAGTATGAATTAAAGTATTTTTTATCATTTTTTATACTATTTTATTGAAATGACATAATTTTAGAATAATTTTTTTTAATATTTAAAAGATAAGGCGAATAAGTATTAATCCTTAATTTTAATAACTGTTTAATTAAATTCATCTAAGTTATAATAGTATTAAAATTGATGTCAATTTTAAAATTTTTTTATGTAAATTAATAATATTAATAGTAATAATAATAATAAATATCCTTAAAATCCAAATTAAAAAAAAATCATATATAATCTAGTGTAATTAATTAAAGAAAATATAACTTTTCTTGAAATACAACTTTTCTTGAAATACAACCAAAGTACAGAAGGGCAAAGTCTTGCTTAAGAAGATTCATTAGGTTCCTCATGAATCAAACAAATTGTTTCATTTCATTTCCTTGCGTTTTCCCTTTTGATGCTGTCTCTTTCGCATTTCTAAATATATTCTTGATTCCAAAAGGAATCTCTGATTAAAGAACCACATTAATTAGTCCACAAAAGATAACAGAACCTAAAGTGAAAATTAAACTATTCATCAATCATGCAACCTCATCATACCTTTAACTATCTTAATTCATCACCTACTATTCTCCCATCCACACCCAATAAAATAATGTGGTATCCAATTAGGATCAACAACCTCAACCCACAACACCAATTAATTTCTTGGATCTGGTTTTGCAGTTTGGTATCACAATTGGAGGGTAAATTCAACACCCTTTTTTACATGACTTAACTAATCATGTAATCCAGAGGTGCCACCACCAATAATCCACCGAACAAAAGTTGATGGTCCAAAAACATGTTACATCAATTAATGGATTAGTGATGTCTTAATCAGCAAATTATTGCGATTTTTGTGTCTCTGTGGCAGGGACAGGGTCTAATTGAACGGGATATATTGTGGATGTGGGGTAAGGGGGAGGAGAGGAATATGTCCTAGAAGCTTAGCATACCTCACAAAG